AATTCTTTAATTATTTGACTCTGATAACATAAACATAATCTACTAAATCTATAGTTGTGTTTAGTACTGGATCATGACCCTTGCATCCTGACCAGAGCTGTGGGTTCTTTATGGACCCTCCATCCATCCTGGTGATAACTGTCCTGACTAACAATATTGACCTTTTTGTAGGATTATTCTGATATCCCAGAGAACATACAAAAAGGACAGGGTTTCTACGGGGGTCGGTTTCAGGGGCTAGCCGCCTCGAAGAGAGTTTGGGTCAGCACAACATTGGTGCCTGCCAGGGGTGAAACCCTGGGTGTGCATGATCTTCAGAGAACTCATATTAACACCTAGTGCAGACATCCTAACATTGCATGTTGATTAGGCAGGAGGTTTATTTTCTAAATTTAATTGAAATTCTCAAATTGCAAAAATGGTATTATTTTTGTAATATCTTTTGAAAAGGAAAATGTAATTGCCAAATTTCTTTTTTGTGCCACAATGATAAAAATGTCTCTAACTGGTTAAATTTTGGAAGCGAAACCATGAAAAAAAAACCCATTAAAATGAAAAAATTACAAAGAAATTTCATCGTAGTGCATAATAAATGTAAGAAAATGGAAATCATTGATAAAATAATCCATATTGATATCAGACATACCATTAATATGTGATAATTCCTCTTCCCTTCGAGCATTACAGACTTTGGTTGAAGACTCCAGTCTGGTGCTTTCTATAAAGACCTCCAGTCTGGTGCTTTCTATAAAGACCTCCGGCTATTCACATCATTCCATATCCTCCGGCATTGTCAATGTAAACTGGGACACATCTTTGATAAACTCACATTAATCTATTAATGATGTTGTATTTTTTTCCAGTGGTTTTACAAAAACCTGATGAATTATTAATCATTTGACTAGTTACTCTAGAGTGAGGAGTTTCATTGAGTTTCCTTGTGTTTACATTGACAACGGAGGTTCGTATAGCTTAATACATTAACCAGACAGTAAAGATGGGAGCAAGGAGTGGCTTGTAAGGAATTGGTGATATAAAGCAATGGTTCTGGGGGCCTAGGGTTGTCGGTCGAGGGCATGCCTCTCTCACACAAATCACTGTGGCTTTACCGGAGACACTATGTTGCTGGGATATACACACGTACATATATTGTCTTCAAACGAACAAGAGTCACTTGATCAAAGCTGGATGTGCTTAGAGACACAAAGTGAATTCAAGTGTAATTATCAATCCTTTTTCTATCTGTGAGATCCTTATAGCATATAGTTTTGGGTCAAATTCTGTTTGTGCTACGTAATTGAATTGCTGGTGTCACAAATCATAGTGCATGTACTTCTACTTTGGTAAGCTTTGTCTGAGGAATATGTGCAACGGAAACAAATTTGTGAAGCACAGTGTGATCTAGGTGACATAGCTTTGATATAGAGAGACTCTGCATGACTATGCTAGCCAGCAGTGGCAGAGGTGCTTGTACCTGCCCATACCTAATGATACACACCCAAACTGCATGTACATCTGTTCTAATGCTAGCTGGTGGCATCTACCCACTCACAACACCAACCAGGGGGCTTTTATTTGAATGTTAAATAGTGGGAGATTATTCCATTGATGTTGGGAAATGATTTATGTATAGTGGGCAAAAGGTTGTGTGTAAAATTTTGTAATATCCATTGTTTCTCATGTACATGTGTCTCCTGCATTTTGTTACCGTGGCAGTTTGAAAGTGCATGTAATTAAAATTTTATGAAGTGTACTTTATAAGTCGAGAACAATTGATATTTTCTAAGCTCTGGCTGGTAACAGTTTATTAACTATTAGATCATGATATAGCATGTTTTAACATGAATGTCTAATGCACGACCGACGTTAACATACCAGTTCCTTGTTTGTGTGATATCTTCTATCAGGTGACACTTTATGAGAACATGACCTGTTCACTCCTGCTTTTGATGAAAAACTATCTTTGAGAAAATGTTTGGTTTCTAATTAGATTACTGTAAGGTTTGATTTTATTAGATGGCTATTTGACTTTACTTAAATAAATTTTGACAAATGACATGTACTTCAAATTTTTATTCAAATATTTGTTTTGTGTCAAGTCTGCCAAAAACAAACCTTACTAGTATCAAAGACTTCTGTTTGTTGGTGAAGTGCTTATTGTCCTTCTGTGACCTGTGATGTCATTGGTGGGCAGACATCTTCCACTGTATGCTTCATTGTCTCGTCACGAGCCGTCCTGTCCCTTGTCAAGAGCAATTTAAATTTTAGTGACATCATTTTAAAGTATTGTCATTTCTGTAACTTATTTTAAATGTAATGTAAATCATTTGTCGGTGTTTTTTTACTAGAATACCATTTTTTCTTTAATGACATGCGGAAGCAGACTTTTAACTTTATATTGAATCTTTGGGATAATTAAAAACCAAAATGTATGATTGCAACACAGGTAACATATGGCTCAGATAGGGTGCTTAGATGGTATTAGGCTGATTGGGATGAAGGGAAACATATATAATAGGTACTTCAAAAGGGAATGTGGTAGGTACATTTAAAGGAGAGTAACATGGTACATATAGGTTACTGTGGGAAGAAGGAGAATGTTGTGGTACTTTTGAAGAAAGGGGGTTTATGGTACATGAATTACTTAGGGACAACAGCATGCTTACTGTTAAAAGGAAAGGAGCATGGTAGCTACTTTGGTAGACAGAGACATTATAGGTATATTTTGTAGGCAATAAATGTGGCAGGTACTTTAAGAAGGATAGGAACATTGATTGGTTTTTAATTTGGAAAAGAGAGGAACATGGCAGGTACTGTGTGGAAGGGAAGGAAACATGGTGGGTCTATTTGAAAGGGAAGAGCATGGTGGAGTATTGGTTTTTGAATATGAACGTTTTAGATTCTTTTGGAAAAAGAAAACAAAATTGCAGGTAATTTGTAAAAGAGGGGACATTAGGTACTTTGGAAGGGAAGGAACATATTAGTTACTTTGGAAGAGGGTATAGCATAATAGATACGTTAGAAAAGAATAGAACGTGGTAGATATATTTGGAGGAAGAGGTACATGGTATACGTAGCATGGTACTTTGAATATGTTAAATGGAAAGGGAAACAATGTAGCCTGTACGATAGCACCTTGGTCAGTACATGTACACAATTGGATGGGAACACTAGTATTTACTACTATATAATATATGCTTAAGGGAGGGGAACGATGTACAATGTATCAGTAAGCTACATGTAGGTATGCACTTTTGAAGGGAGGAACTGTTGTGTGGGTGCCTGGGTAGGAGACAGGGGTAGACTGACCCAGGTTGGTTACTGGGTAGTAGACAGGGGTAGACTAACCCGAATGGGTACCTGGGTAGGAGAATGATGGGTAGACTGACCCAGGTGGGTGCCTGAGTAGGAGAATGATGGGTAGACTGACCCAGGTTGGTTACTGGGTAGGAGACAGAGGGGTAGACTGACCCGGGTGGGTACCTGGGTAGTAGACCGGGGTAGACTGCCCCGGAGTGGTGCCTGAGTAGGAGACTGAGGGGTAGACTTCCAGGGTGGGTGCGTGGGTAGGAGACAGGGGTAGACTGACCCGGGGGGGTACCTGGGTAGTAGACCGGGGCAGACTGCCCCGGAGTGGTGCCTGAGTAGGAGACTGAGGGGCAGACTTCCAGGGTGGGTGCCTGGGTAGGAGCCTGAGGGGTTGACTGTCCTGGGTGGGGGCCTGGGTGGGGGCCTGGGTAGGAGACAGAGGGGTAGACTGGCCTGGGTGGGTACCTGGGTAGTAGGCCGGGGTAGACTGCCCCGGAGCGGTGCCTGAGTAGGAGACTGAGGGGTAAACTGCCAGGGTGGGTGCCTGGGGAGGAGACTGAGGGGTAAGACTGTGCTGGGTGGGGGCCTGGGTAGGGGACTGAGGGGTTGACTGTCCTGGGTGGGGGCCTGGGTGGGTGCCTGGGTGGGGGCCTGGGTAGGGGACTGAGGGGTTGACTGTCCTGGGTGGGTGCCTGGGTAGGGGACTGAGGGGGAAGACTGTCCTGGGTGGGTGACTGGGTAGGAGACAGAGGGGGAGACTGACCCAGGTTGGTTACTGCGTAGGAGACAGGGGTAGACTGACCCGGGTGGGTTCCTGGGTAGGAGACTGAGGGGCAAGACTGTCCTGGGTGGGTGCCTGGGAAGGAGACTGGGGGGTTGACTGTCCTGGGTGGGGGCCTGGGTAGGGGACTGAGGGGTTGACTGTCCTGGGTGGGTTCCTGGGTAGGAGACTGAGGGGTTGACTGTCCTGGGTGGGGGCCTGGGTGGGGGCCTGGGTAGGAGACTGAGGGGAAAGACTGTCCTGGGTGGGGGCCTGGGTAGGGGACTGAGGGGGAAGACTGTCCTGGGTGGGTGCCTTGGTAGGAGACTGAGGGGTAAGACCGTCCTGGGTGGGTGCCTGGGTGGGGGCCTGGGTAGGAGACGGAGGGGTTGACTGTCCTGGGTGGGTGCCTTGGTAGGAGACTGAGGGGTAAGACTGTCCTGGGTGGGTGCCTGGGTGGGTGCCTGGGTAGGAGACTGAGGGGTAAGACTGTCCTGGGTGGGTGCCTGGGTAGGAGACAGAGGGGTAGACTGGCCCGGGTGGGTGCCTGGGTAGGAGACTGAGGGGTTGACTGTCCTGGGGGGGGGCCTGGGTAGGAGACAGAGGGGTAGACTGGCCCGGGTGGGTGCCTGGGTAGGAGACTGAGGGGCAAGACTGTCCTGGGTGGGTGCCTGGGTAGGAGCCTGAGGGGTTGACTGTCCTGGGTGGGTGCCTGGGGAGGAGACTGAGGGGTAAGACTGCCCTGGGTGGGTGCCTGGGTGGGTGCCTGGGTAGGAGACAGAGGGGGAGACTGACCCAGGTTGGTTACTGGGTAGGAGACAGACGGGGAGACTGATGTGGGTAGGAGACGGAGGGGTAGACTGACCCGGGTGGGCGCCTGGGTAGGAGACTGAGGGGTAAGACTGCCCTGGGTGGGTGCCTGGGTGGGTGCCTGGGTAGGAGACTGAGGGGTAAGACTGTCCTGGGTGGGTGCCTGGGTAGGAGACTGAGGGGTTGACTTCCCGGGTGGGTGCCTGGGTAGGAGACAGAAGTGTAGATTGTCACTGGTTTAAACTGACTTTGTATCTAACTTTGCTGTGGATCAATGGAATGGCTACTACCTTTATTTACTGTGCTCTGTACAGGGACTCCAGCTGGTGCTTGGTTACGGCATGTGCTAGAATCTCACTCTTTGCTTTCACCTGTAAAGCTGGGTGATAGATAAATGTACTCCTTCCAGTTACTATGGAGCACACAAGCTCATGATCACTGTATGGTAGATATGTAGCCTGTATTTCTGACTTATGGTGAATTAGGTAATTGTTATAAATAAAACATGGTGACTGTGTAAATCATTAACAGTAAGCTCTCAGGTGTATCTCGGGAGATTTGTCTTCAGTGGATTTCTAAACAGATTATCTCATGCCATATACCATTCATTTATCAAACATACAGGTTTTTTTTAAACTTTTAATCTATGTAAAGAATTTGAACAAACATTGTAAAACATTCATGATCAGTGATTTAATGTGTGAAGAACTAAATGTTGGTTTAGAATAAGCAGAGACATACTGCCGATGAGAACCAGCTAGACTGGTTGTAATTCTGCTGTAATTATGAGTATTGATGTAAGTTTTTAACATAACCTTCCATGAATCTGTTATTTTGTTTTGGTCAGACTACCTGTGTGTGTTCCTAAACGAGTGTTTGTGTTTTTGTAGCCGACCCCCGAGATGTATGCCTCTGCCTATGAGCACTACAACAGGAGTCTTAAGATGATGTGTTTCAGGTACATACTCAGAAATCAGCCAAAATGTTGGGGATATACTAAGTTTTGAAATGCTAAGGTGGGAAAATGAACTTCGTCTTTTTGGGGTCTGGTTTGGAGTAGCAATCATTAAGTTAGGTTTAGAGACGAAAATATTTCATCACCTATAAAGGTAAGGGAATAACAAATGACACTTTACTTGATAATTCCATCTTTAATGTTTGAAATGTACATGTAAGCGAAACTTTAGGAAAAATTAGAATCAAAAAGACAAAATAACTTTATTACAATTACTTCCTGTTAAAAAAACCCACTATATAATTTAGTACAATAGGCTCCCATACTTTTGAAAACCAAGAAAGAAAATGATCACAATAATTGTTTGACTATTCTGTAAAGCTGTATAATGATCAGTGAAACCTTATATTATTTACTGATCATATGCTTGCTTTCTTTGTGGTGTTTTTTACAGATCTATATGAGTAACTATTAGTCTTACTTCTAATTAAATAGCTTTGATAAATACCAAGATACAATGTTAGATTTACATTCTTATATATACCGCTTTATTACAACCTAGTTCATAGGTTGTCTTCAAAGTGGTTCACAAATTATTATCTGTGGTTACAATCCCCTGGTGCATATCTATACTTACTGATATGAAAATTGCTCACTCCTTGAAGAAACCCTCTCTTTGATCCAATCATTTCTGATCCTGGTTGCATATGTACAGGAACGTCCTTAGAAGTTAAAAGTATGTGGAAGCACCATGTCATATAGAGTAAAATTGTTGTGATGTTGCCAGCGCCTGGGTGCAGTACTCTCTGCGTAAAAAGAAAAAAATGAAGAAGATGTCATTACAAATGGAGCGGGCAGAGAGACATCGTGCACAGAAGGTGATGAGGGTACATCTGGACGAGTGGAAGGTCAGTAACACACACACAAAATTGTTCCTCCGAGTAGCGTGAATAATGTCCCTGTCAGTAACAAAAAGCATCTTCCTTTAAGTAACAAAACCCCTGTTAGTAATAAAAAAAAATATCACTTTTAGTAACAAAAATACTTGTCCCTGTATGTAATGCAAAACCATGTCCCTGTGAGTAAAATGAAAAATTGTTCCTGTAAGTAACAAAAATCATTATCCTTATTAGTAACAATAATCAATAATACTTGTCCCTGTTTAAAATAACAAAAACTTCTCTGTAGACATTCAGCAACGAATACAAAAGCATGCCACTGTTCTATCATACAGCTAGATCCAGGAACATGTAACAATGTTAATTATAATTGATATTTGACCTTCAAGTTTTTTAATAATGGATATCAATTATATACACATATATTTTGTGTTTTAAGACTTTTCTTCTTTGACATATAATTTGAAATGGGCTTGATTTCATTTCACACTAAATATATTTAGAGTGATATGTATGTAAAAGACATTGTGTGTTACAATGTTATGGGATTGTTATTGTATTGTAGCATCATTTGTATACATTTTTCCCTTTATACAGGACTGGGTGAAGTACAGAAAAGGGTGCCAGGCCAGTATGTATACTTATATTGTTAATAAAAAAAAAGCATCAAACATTTATTTCAGAATTTTGAAATGTTTAATTCCATCCAAAAGAAAAAGCACTTATGATATAATAATTCTCGAACATAATCTCACTGAAGGTTTAAATTAAAATTATTTAATGATTATTTTATAAGGCCCGGTGTTTGTGTGTAATACATTGAGTGGTATTTGTGTCATCAGTGTCATACCAGAAGATAAAGAAGATATACAATATCTCCATTGGGAAGGTGATCTTTAAGGAGTGGCATGAAACCACAGTACGGGCCAAGAACCAGAGGGAATACTTCGAGGTAAGTCACATAACCGGTATCCATACTCTCCGATCTCGGCCTACAGGTTTGGCTGTAGCTGTTGCATGGCAACAGGAATGCTGTAGATCCAGAAGTTTAGTTTCAATGTTGTCATCCCTATTTATGTTATAACTCTAGTCATTATACACCAGCAGCTTACATTATAGGGACCCCAGTGTATTCCCCTTGTCACTGTCTTCAGTACAGCTGTGTGTGATAGAGCAATGTAGGTATGATATCACTCACTGGGGTCAAAGCTTGGTAGCATTTAAAGCAAGGATTGAATTAGATAATTAAATTTATAAATTAACATTGGATTATGAATGCAATTGTTTGTCCATATTAGAGTAATTAATATATATATATATAATGTTTATAGCAACAGGTAGGATTTAAATTGCCAGTTACTATGAATTATCACCAGATCTTCTAGCTGTAAGGTACATTATAGTGAAACCTATATGTTGAACTGTTTTGTTTGTTACACAGAGTAAGCTGGTCAGTACACTAGGTATATTATGGTAACAGGCCATCTAACTGTGAGCTGGCTCTAACCCGCTACTTCATCTCTCCAGCACACTGCAGTGACACATCCAGGCACTCACTCTTCAGGGGTCCTCACTCCTCATACAGGGGTTATAACTCCTTACACAGGGGTTATGACTCCTCACGCAGGGGATATAACTCCTCACACAGGGGTTATAACTCCTCACACAGGGGATATAACTCCTCACACAGGGGTTATAACTCCTTACACAGGGGTTATAACTCCTAACACAGGGGCTATAACGCCTAATACTGGGGATGCATTCCTCATACAGGGGAGGGAACATTTATTACTCCTCAAACAAGAGGGGGGGGGGGCGACATTATTCCTCATACAGAGGTTATAATTCCTCATACAGGAAATATAACTTCTCATACAGAGGAGATCACTATTGATATTGGGGAGGTGTTATCACTCCTTGTACAGGCCGAGGGGATAGCACTCTTCATACAGAGGAGGGGTTATTATTTGCAATAAAGGGGAGGGGTGGGAAGAATCATCATTCCTCATAGAAAGGAGAGGCCATAAATTACTCCTCATATAGAAGTGGGGTCATTATACTCCTTGTATATGGGAGGGGTCAACACCGGTCATACAGGGTTATAACTCCTCATACACAGGGATATAAATCCTCATGCAGGGGACATAACTCCTCATACAGGGGATATAACTCCTCATACAGGGGACATAACTCCTAATACAGGGGACATAACTCCTCATACAGGGGACATAACTCCTCATACAGGGTATATAACTCCTCATACAGGAGATATAACTTCTCATACAGGAGATATAACTTCTCATGCAGAGGAGGCGGTCATTCCTCCTTGTACATGTGGAGGGATCAACACTCCTCATACAGGGGACATAACTCATCATACAGAGGAGGGGTCATTACTCCCCATAAAGGGGAGATTACTCCTGATACAGTGGAGGTGTCTTCACCCCACATTCAGGGGGCAGGTCAGGATTTAGAAATAAAAAACACATTGTACATCATCAGATATATACCGTTATGACTGCAAAAGCCTTATGGATTTGTCACTGCATCAACTGTTACACACCTGTACACATTTCCATGGAGACACAGTGAAAGTGGCTCAAATTATTGATAAATGAAAACAAAAAATATATAATGCAAAAACACACATCTATTTCTTGTGTCACAAACTTTTGCTGTTGATTTAATGTAACTGTCACATGACTTTGATTACTGTGTCACCTGAAGTGTTGTACTAATAAGGTGTTGTAACGAGACAGGTGTGACCCTATCAAACCTACAGGTGAGGGGGGGCACAGGTGAGGGGAACATTGGAGCTGGAGAGATGATCTAGCACAGAGTATGGGGAGTGTGTTCTTCATTAACAGGTTATGTACAATAACAAAACAAATTTTATATTTTTAGAAGAATTTTAAATGATATAACTGATTAATTAATATAATTAAATATAACTTTTTTTAGATTTTGTTGTATTTTTTTACTGAACTGCCTGCATAAGACTTTTTCTTTGTATGTGTTTTGCAATGGGAATAACTAAGACTAATATAGTAACTTAACAATTACTCAATATGTTCCTGTAGTTTGTACAAAATTATCCATTAACAAGCCATGCTTGTAGTGTAAATCAACAGACAGACGTTCTCAATTTGTTAGTTTTGAAGCCAAGGAAAAAATCCACAGAATTATATTTTAGAATCAAATTTAGTTTGGTGAAGGCCTTAATTATAACATAGCAGCAGAGAGGTGTTCTTTAGATAGGTGTTGAAAGAATGTTTCCAATACCACCTGTAGCCAGTATGTTGTCACAGTGTAGATTAGCTATAAGTACTGGTGTACCTGAGGCACACCAGTCGTTGTTACTGGACATCACCTTCTATCAGTAATCTTTGTCACTCTGTTTTGATTCACAAGATAAATTTGAGGGTAACTATAGCTTCCTTTGTGTTGATGTTCTATATGCTTCTGTATCCGACACACACCACCAACCCACATGCATGGGTTACTTCCCCTGATGGACTGAGTAAACTACAATATCCCAACCAAATGATTGTACAATATTAGCATGTGTCACTGAATTTTCTTTTTCATTTTATTTAATTCAGAATAGACTGTATCTTGATCTGTGTCCTATTTCATGCAAGTGACAGTCAATACTGCGACATGTTTCGGTGGACTCGATCCTCCTCCCATTAGCCCATACTGATACATGTGTCCTGACTTCCCCCTGTGTACATTGACAACGGTCCATACTGAGACACGTTTCCTGACCCCCTACCCCTTGCTAGTATGTACAGTCCATCGGGGTGGGGCCCTTCTGTCTATCACCCACTTTAGACTATCTGCTATTTGTGCAGTCTAGCTGCAGCCATCATGTATATAAATGCCACTATCACATGGCTTTCAATCTGTATACTTGTCTGCTGTGCGTTTTTATTCAGGTTGAGGTTAGCTGTTTTCTCCTGGAGGAGAGAAAGAGTTCAATCAAGTGTAACTTATTTTGAACAACCAAAGTCATAAAACACTAAACTGTAATATGAAAAGTTCTTTTTACACAACCAATACGATTTTGTCTATGTGACGTTTCGATGACTAGTACGACATGTACACTGTCACCTACATCAGACAAATGACCAGTGAAGCATATGCACACAAAGGTGTAAAATGTGTACGAGTTGTCCATAAAACACATTTTACACCTTTGTGTGCATATGCTTTATTGGTCATTTGTCTGATGTAGGTGACAGTGTACATATCGTACTGGTCATCGAAACGTCACATAGACAAAATCGTATTGGTTGTGTAAAAAGAACTTCTCATAATCCATCACTTACCAACCCGAAGAAAATGTTTAGAAACTAAACTGTAATAATTCTGTATCAAGTTGCCAACTAAAGTCAGTCTACGGTCTGTGTGAAGTCATCGCTTGTGCACAGAGTCTGTGTAAAGTGTTGATATTTAAATAGAGTGAGACTTTTAACAAGACAGTATCCTTTCAGCCACTGTTATTTTTACAGAGCTCTTATAACAAACATTTTTAATGGGTTTTTTATCTAGATTTTTGAAAGCGTTTTTGAATAGATGTTATGTTTTAGGTGATTTCTTCGGTTGTTTTTCCTTAATTATATTCTGAATAGCTCTTGGTATTGTTTTGTGTTTTTTTAAAGTTTTTATCTAGATCTGTTTACCTATATAGATGTCTCACAAAACCGAAAACTTCTTGTGTAACTTTCTCAAATTGTGAACACCTGAGGTAACTTTAACCGTACTCTTGATTTTGCTTGATATTAGATGTGATGAAATTTTTGTGCTACAATCTCTTTTATTATATAATCTTGAATTAGAGTTAAACTGATATTCTAACAGTTAAGAGATATGATTAGATATATATATATATATTTAAATAGTTTCATGTTACAAAGGATAAAAGACCTTATAACATTTGTTTTGCTCTTTATATTATGTACATACTTGTTGGCATCATTGAATATGTTTCCTTATAGAGGGTGAATTCAATAATTAGCTATATAACATATTAAATATTGAATTCATCCATGTTTTGTCGCTTAAAATTAGTAAAATATGATAGTTGTCACTTGTATGTGGCCAGATTAACAGGCCAAGAACAAAATCTGAATAAGCAATTGTGAATCAGGCAAGTGATCTGTGAAAATTACTTAAAAATATCATTTGCCAGCACATGGCATTAATACTATTATAATATAGTGGTGCATAATATTAGTATCTTTTAATAGAAATAAAGCCTATTTTTCTGTCAACTGTATTTATACACTTACAAATAATAAAACAAAATTCTAGGAGTATCCTAGGAATAAATCATTTGTACTAGTCAGTTGAGTAAGTAGACACACATTTTCAGTTGCCGACATATCAATTGAATAATGAAATTTTGTTTTGTCAGATGTGTTGTCTGCAGCATTCCTTTTGTAATGTAGCGAAGCAGTAGATCAGTGTACATGTAGCTACGGGTGGAAGAGATGGATCAGTGTAGCTACGGGTGGAAGTGATGGATCAGTGTACATGTAGCTACGGGTGGAAGAGATGGATCAGTGTAGCTACGGGTGGAAGTGATGGATCAGTGTACATGTAGCTACGGGTGGAAGTGATGGATCAGTGTAGCTACGGGTGGAAGTGATGGATCAGTGTACATGTAGCTACGTGTGTGTGAAAGTGACGATTTGTTTCTAAAATATCAGTTTGAAATGCGCTCCGGGCGCAGGGCGCATATTTCCCGCATATTATAGAGGGCCGGAGTTCTGACGTTAATTGACGACAGACCGATATGAAAAAAGTCGATAAAACGTCAGAATAATTCGGACTACGGGTATAGTGGAGGTGGTAGATCAGTGTAGCTACGGGTAGAGTGGAGGTGGTGGATCAGTGTAGCTACGGGTTTAGTGGAGGTGGTAGATCAGTGTAGCTACGGGTAGAGTGGAGGTGGTAGATCAGTGTAGCTACAGGTAGAGTGGAGGTGGTAGATCAGTGTAGCTACAGGTAGTGTGGAGGTGGTAGATCAGTGTAGCTACAGGTAGAGTGGAGGTGGTGGATCAGTGTAGCTATGGGTAGAGTGGAAGTGATGGATCAGTGTAGCTACAGGTAGAGTGGAAATGGTAGATAGTGTAATTACAGATGGAGAGAAAGTGGTAGATCAGTGTATCTATGGATGGGTTAAAAGTGGTAGATCAGTGTACCTATGAGTTAAATGGAAGTTGTAGATCAGTGTAGCTATGGTTGGAGTGGAAGTGGTAGATCAGTATAGCTACGAGTAGTCAAGTGGAAGTGGTAAATCAGTATAGCTACAAATGGATAGTAGTGGTAAGTCAGTGTAGCTACCAGTGGAATGAAAGTGGTAGATCAGTGTAGCTTTGGGTGGAGTGGAAATGGTAGATCAGTGTACGTACGAGTGTAATAGAAGTGGTAGATCAGTGTTTCTACAGATGGAGTGAAAGTGGTAGATCAGTGTATCTATGGGTTGGTTGGAGGTGGTAGATCAGTGTACGTATGAGTTAAATGGAAGTGGTAGATCAGTGTAGCTATGGGTGGAGTGAAAGTGGTAGATCAGTGTATCTATGGGTTGGTTGAAGTGGTAGATCAGTGTACCTATGAGTTAAATGGAAGTGGTAGATCAGTGTAGCTATGGGTGGAGTCGAAGTGGTAGATCAGTGTAGCTATTGGTGGATTTGAAGTTGTAGATCAGTTTAGCTACGGGTTGAGTGGAAGTGGTAGATCAGTGTAGCTACCAGTGGAATGGAAGTGGTAGATCAGTGTACTTATGAGTGGACTGGAAGTGGTAGATCAGTGAAGCTACCAGTGGAATGGAAGTGGTAGATCAGTGTACGTACTTAAGGAGTGGACTGGAAGTGGTAGATCAGTGTGGCTACGAGTTGAATGGAAGTGGTTGTTCAGTGTACGTACTTAGGAGTGGAATGGAAGTGGTAGATCAGTGTGGCTACGAGTTGAATGGAAGTGGTTGGTCAGTGTACGTACTTAGGAGTGGGATGGAATAGTAGATCAGTGTACGTACTTAAGGAGTGGACTGGAAGTGGTAGATGGATCAGTGTAGCTACGGGTGGAAGTGATGGATCAGTGTACATGTAGCTACGGGTGGAAGTGATGGATCAGTGTAGCTACAGGTAGAGTGGAGGTGGTGGATCAGTGTAGCTACGGGTGGAAGTGATGGATCAGTGTACATGTAGCTACGGGTGGAAGTGATGGATCAGTGTAGCTACAGGTAGAGTGGAGGGGGTGGATCAGTGTAGCTATGGGTAGAGTGGAAGTGATGGATCAGTGTACATGTAGCTACGGGTGGAAGTGATGGATCAGTGTAGCTACAGGTAGAGTGGAGGGGGTGGATCAGTGTAGCTATGGGTAGAGTGGTGGAGGTAGATCAGTGTAGCTACAGGTAGAGTGGAGGTGGTGGATCAGTGTAGCTACGGGTGGAAGTGATGGATCAGTGTACATGTAGCTACGGGTGGAAGTGATGGATCAGTGTAGCTACGGGTGGAAGTGATGGATCAGTGTAGCTACAGGTAGAGTGGAGGTGGTGGATCAGTGTAGCTACGGGTGGAAGTGATGGATCAGTGTACATGTAGCTACGGGTGGAAGTGATGGATCAGTGTAGCTACAGGTAGAGTGGAGGGGGTGGATCAGTGTAGCTATGGGTAGCGTGGAGGTGGTAGATCAGTGTAGCTACAGGTAGAGTGGAGGGGGTGGATCAGTGTAGCTATGGGTAGCGTGGAGGTGGTAGATCAGTGTAGCTACCAGTGGAATGGAAGTGGTAGATCTGTGTATGTACTTAGGAGTGGAGTGGAAGTGGTAGATCAGTGTACTTACTTAGGAGTGGAATGGAATAGGAGATCAGTGTACGTACTTAGGGGGGGAATGGAATAGTAGATCAGTGTACGTACTTAAGGAGTGGACTGGAAGTGGTAGATCAGTGAAGCTACCAGTGGAATGGAAGTGGTAGATAAGTGTACGTACTTAGGAGTGGGATGGAATAGTAGATCAGTGTACATACTTAGGAGTGGAATGGAAGCGGTAGATCAGTGTACGTACTTGGGAGTGGAATGGAAGTGGTAGATCGGTGTACGTACTTAGGAGTGGAATGGAATAGTAGATCAGTGTACGTACTTAGGAGTGGAATGGAAGATCAGTGTACTTTCGAGTGGAGGTGTATATGCTATTACAGCTTTGGTTGCTTATATAAGACAAAAGATACAGATAGATATGATTTAAACAGCTCACCATATGACATATATATTCTGTCACGTCACCAGATCAGATTATCATATAGATAGAATATACAAATTGTCTATAATCATGTCTTTGATCACCTGCTTTAGAATTAACCCATATCAGTACTAGCTAGACAATATATTTCATATTTATCAAACATTCACATTACTTCAATATTGAAGTTTCAATATGTGAAACAAGACTGCTGACATTCAGACTGCCTGTATTTGTATTAGTTATATAAGCTAGATTTTTACCTACGTAGGTTGATGTCATTATTTATATAGGCTAAGATGGCGGTCATTAGACTGAACCGCAATCCCTTTACGGGTGTGAAATTCAAGAAAATGAAATTCCCAAAACCTGTAAGTAACCATACAGGAGTTGTTTATTTATTTTCCAACCAGGAGTTGTGTTGGTACAATTTAACCTTTTTATTGAATTATAAGGATTTATCACCTTCATTTGTTTGTTACCCTTTTACCTGTAGACATGTTGCAGTGATTTGCAGTTATTTTAGATATCTTTAGATAAGGTAATATTTTGTGTTTTAAAAGTGTTTGGTTGCTTTTGGTGCCAGTAATGATATCCATTTGCCTGGTGTAGATATTTGCAGAAGAAGATAATTGATGGCAAATTCCTCCAAATTGTCAGTGTCATGTTCAGAAAGGTTTTGTCTTGGGAAAAAATCCTACAATCCATATTAAATTATCAAAACAATTATGGACCCAGCTGTTCAAAGCCAGATTATTATAATGAAAACTTAACACAATATTGTACATGTTGAAAAAAATAATGAAACCATCTATAGGGATTTTGAATAAAAAACCCCCACATTTTTGACATACCTTGTATATTAGATTTGGAAAAATTGACTTATCAATCTAATCAGGCTTCGACAGCACCTGGCTTTGTTCTTGTTTAAGTTGCATGCTGTTTCTGTTTTTCTGAACAGTTTAACAAAATGACAATTTTAACTGAAGTTTTAATTGCTTTCAAACAAGTTCATTTTTTTTCCCCTCTTTTAATTTGGTGTTTTCAACAACAAAAAAGAAAAAAGAATTCTGAGAATAAGTAAATAATTTCATCAAAGGTTGTGAATGTTTTACTTTGTTTTTTGACTTCAAATATTTTCAGGGATGAATTTTTAATATACATGTATATAAATATATAGGATGATAAAAATACACTGTGTAAGTCTATTAAACAAAATGATAAATAATCCCAGTGATAATAAAAGTATTTGAGACCAGATCAGTTAAAATAATATGACTTGAGCAAAATACATTATACTTGTATTCCTAGTTTAATGTGTGATCATTTGGTCTTGCATATATATAACTTTGAATTTTTGAATAGATATAGCCAATGTTATTATATTAACCCTGAATGTGCATGTTTTAAGAAACTTGAGCGTGGTGAGAATATGGAAGATGACGAGACGTTCGGCCAGGGAACAGGGGAGGCCCGGGATAGCATCTCACATCTCCGAGACATCGGGTTCGGCGATCTTGCTGTCAGGGTCAGTCTCAGCTGATAAATCATGTGACTAGATTAGCTCCACCTGATTGGTCACCCTCTTACACCATCATTTTAGTGTTATTAACGACTCTGATATGAAATCCTTGTAAATTAATAATAAAAAATCAATGTATATACATGTAGTTATGAAAATGCAACTTACAAATACTGTATTGCCAATGATTTTCAAGATGAGACATATTAATTGTAAAGAAGTTTAGAAGTTAAACTGCATGACAAGTTTAGACTCATTTGAAATACCAATTTGACAAGAGTGTACAGGTACATGTAATACAGTGTTGTTGTGTTGTAGATCTTCAGTTTTGTAGACATAGCCGATTTGGCACGGTGTTCCCGAGTGTGTCGGTCCTGGAAGGTGATCACCCAGACACCTGCTCTGTGGAGTCGGGTATGTATAATACACCCTGTATCTATTACACAAACAGGGTAGTATACCGGTCTCCACTACTTTATGTCCAATAAGTCCCTCTTTTTTTTCAAAACACAATTTTTTTCACATTATGTCTCCCTTTCAAACTAAAGCTTTTAGTTTTCCTTAATTCCAGCTTTATGCTTTCCAATGGGAAAAGTTTCATAAATTTCCTTGAAATGAAGACTGTATGTGAAATAAGGCTGAGGAGTGGTGTAAATATTATTGTTCAAATAATATTTTTTCCTAACAATTATAAGTAATATATGTATTTCAATGTTACCTGATATATACGACTGGTTAATTGTTATATATGTATTTCAATGTTACCTGATATATATACAACTGGTTAATTGTGCTGAAATCAAGATGGGGCATCTATATATATATTGTGTTTGTACTCATGCAATCATTGTTAGTTAATTATGTATTTATGTTTTGTTGTAGCTGGATTTCTACAAAGTCAGAAACAGGTGAGAATATCCACTATCACTATCTGTATGTATAGCCTACAGTATACGTAAAACATTTCTCAGACTGTCTGATATTATTTTTTTTTTTTGAATAGAGTTGTTCAGACCTTTTTCCTTTGTAATACAGTGTTCTTGTGTTGTATATCTTGGTTTTGATTTTGATGTTGTAGATTTGAAGAAGAAATCTGTAAAACAAAACGTAATTTTCTTTAATGTATTTTCATATAAAGTTTGTTGTCTGCGCACCTCTTCCCTTCAAAATAGCCTCTATGATCTAGATCACAAGAACACGGGATATGTGTACACTGTACTGGTATAATATTATTGTTGATCTGTCAACATGTAGATGTATTAAATAATTAGTTAATGCTATGTGTTAAAATATATCCAAAGATTCCATTGTACACCTATGAAAAAAGAGTACACAACAGTTGTTGATCATATTTAAGTCCCTTTATTAAATCAATACCATAAATGTAAAATAATATTTTAAGCTGTGTTTAGTTTGTTTAACTCTATAAGAGTGTTTTGTATCTATTTCTGTGATAAGATGATGTTAGAAGTCACCTTTGATATTCTATGAAAGCCGTATGTTGTAGTAGTTTGTAATAGTTGGTCTTGTTGTTAAGCTGCTCAGTAACAGATTAAAAAAGGGATTTCCTCTGGGGTTTTTTTTCCTCATTTCTCCTTTGTTTGTTATTTTTTTTGTAATATATCCTTTGCAAGTTGTTGTCATTGATGTCAATACCTGTAGGTGTAAGGTCAGAGGTCAGACAGTTCTAAGGACTAATGTAAAATGTTGAATTATTAAGTCAAAATTATTATCAATATTTCTGCAATTTTTAGTTAAAAACAGATTGATTTTTGTAAATGCAAGAAGATTTTGAGTCAGTTATCAAGATGTTAACTTATCAACTTATGTTGATATATATCTGTTTTGTGTCCAAACATGTATGTGTGCCCCACCCTATATAATGTACATGTGTTCATGTGCCCTCATGTAAGTGTGTTTGTGTTACTGCTACGCCATATATAATGTATACTTGTATGGGTTTGTGTGCCCCACCTTATATGTGTGTTTGTGTGCAGTACATATGATTTCAGTGTTATTTGATTTTGTGCACCTTACTTTTTCATTGTGATGTGCACGGCATTTGTTGCCTGCGTCCAGAATGCTATATGGGTATGTTTTGATGACCATTATGAATGCTTATTGTTGCTGTGCTTATGTAGGGGTATAGTGCTAGATTTGCATGTCTGCTGTGGAGTTTTAGGGCCTGTCTGGAATGTATACACAGTATATTTAAAGTTTAAATGTGAGATACTGTAGAAATCATCACAGAATTATATGCAACTTGCATGTGACATCCAGTGTACTCTGAATTAGATAAAACATCAGTATTGAACAGCTACTATACTGTAGATACGGGTCAAGAATATATATCACACAACATCAGTATTGAACAATTACAACTACTATACTGTAGATACGGGTCAAGAATATATCACACAACATCAGTATTGAACAGCTACTATACTGTAGATACGGGTCAAGAATATATCACACAACATCAGTATTGAACAGCTACTATACTGTAGATACGGGTCAAGAATATATCACACAACATCAGTATTGAACAGCTACTATACTGTAGATACGGGTCAAGAATATATCACACAACATCAGTATTGAACAGCTACTATACTGTAGATACGGGTCAAGAATATATCACACAACATCAGTATTGAACAGCTACTATACTGTAGATACGGGTCAAGAATATATCACACAACATCAGTATTGAACAGCTACTATACTGTAGATACGGGTCAAGAATATATCACACAACATCAGTATTGAACAGCTACTATACTGTAGATACGGGTCAAGAATATATCACACAACATCAGTATTGAACAGCTACTATACTGTAGATACGGGTCAAGAATATATCACACAACATCAGTATTGAACAGCTACTATACTGTAGATACGGGTCAAGAATATATCACACAACATCAGTATTGAACAGCTACTATACTGTAGATACGGGTCAAGAATATATCACACAACATCAGTATTGAACAGCTACTATACTGTAGATACGGGTCAAGAATATATCACACAACATCAGTATTGAACAGCTACTATACTGTAGATACGGGTCAAGAATATATCACACAACATCAGTATTGAACAGCTACTATACTGTAGATACGGGTCAAGAATATATCACACAACATCAGTATTGAACAGCTACTATACTGTAGATACGGGTCAAGAATATATCACACAACATCAGTATTGAACAGCTACTATACTGTAGATACGGGTCAAGAATATATCACACAACATCAGTATTGAACAGCTACTATACTGTAGATACGGGTCAAGAATATATCACACAACATCAGTATTGAACAGCTACTATACTGTAGATACGGGTCAAGAATATATCACACAACATCAGTATTGAACAGCTACTATACTGTAGATACGGGTCAAGAATATATCACACAACATCAGTATTGAACAGCTACTATACTGTAGATACGGGTCAAGAATATATCACACAACATCAGTATTGAACAGCTACTATACTGTAGATACGGGTCAAGAATATATCACACAACATCAGTATTGAACAGCTACTATACTGTAGATACGGGTCAAGAATATATCACACAACATCAGTATTGAACAGCTACTATACTGTAGATACGGGTCAAGAATATATCACACAACATCAGTATTGAACAGCTACTATACTGTAGATACGGGTCAAGAATATATCACACAACATCAGTATTGAACAGCTACTATACTGTAGATACGGGTCAAGAATATATCACACAACATCAGTATTGAACAGCTACTATACTGTAGATACGGGTCAAGAATATATCACACAACATCAGTATTGAACAGCTACTATACTGTAGATACGGGTCAAGAATATATCACACAACATCAGTATTGAACAGCTACTATACTGTAGATACGGGTCAAGAATATATCACACAACATCAGTATTGAACAGCTACTATACTGTAGATACGGGTCAAGAATATATCACACAACATCAGTATTGAACAGCTACTATACTGTAGATACGGGTCAAGAATATATCACACAGCATCAGTATTGAACAGCTACTATACTGTAGATACGGGTCAAGAATATATCACACAACATCAGTATTGAACAGCTACTATACTGTAGATACGGGTCAAGAATATATCACACAACATCAGTATTGAACAGCTACTATACTGTAGATACGGGTCAAGAATATATCACACAACATCAGTATTGAACAGCTACTATACTGTAGATACGGGTCAAGAATATATCACACAACATCAGTATTGAACAGCTACTATACTGTAGATACGGGTCAAGAATATATCACACAACATCAGTATTGAACAGCTACTATACTGTAGATACGGGTCAAGAATATATCACACAACATCAGTATTGAACAGCTACTATACTGTAGATACGGGTCAAGAATATATCACACAACATCAGTATTGAACAGCTACTATACTGTAGATACGGGTCAAGAATATATCACACAACATCAGTATTGAACAGCTACTATACTGTAGATACGGGTCAAGAATATATCACACAACATCAGTATTGAACAGCTACTATACTGTAGATACGGGTCAAGAATATATCACACAACATCAGTATTGAACAGCTACTATACTGTAGATACGGGTCAAGAATATATCACACAACATCAGTATTGAACAGCTACTATACTGTAGATACGGGTCAAGAATATATCACACAACATCAGTATTGAACAGCTACTATACTGTAGATACGGGTCAAGAATATATCACACAACATCAGTATTGAACAGCTACTATACTGTAGATACGGGTCAAGAATATATCACACAACATCAGTATTGAACAGCTACTATACTGTAGATACGGGTCAAGAATATATCACACAACATCAGTATTGAACAGCTACTATACTGTAGATACGGGTCAAGAATATATCACACAACATCAGTATTGAACAGCTACTATACTGTAGATACGGGTCAAGAATATATCACACAACATCAGTATTGAACAGCTACTATACTGTAGATACGGGTCAAGAATATATCACACAACATCAGTATTGAACAGCTACTATACTGTAGATACGGGTCAAGAATATATCACACAACATCAGTATTGAACAGCTACTATACTGTAGATACGGGTCAAGAATATATCACACAACATCAGTATTGAACAGCTACTATACTGTAGATACGGGTCAAGAATATATCACACAACATCAGTATTGAACAGCTACTATACTGTAGATACGGGTCAAGAATATATCACACAACATCAGTATTGAACAGCTACTATACTGTAGATACGGGTCAAGAATATATCACACAACATCAGTATTGAACAGCTACTATACTGTAGATACGGGTCAAGAATATATCACACAACATCAGTATTGAACAGCTACTATACTGTAGATACGGGTCAAGAATATATCACACAACATCAGTATTGAACAGCTACTATACTGTAGATACGGGTCAAGAATATATCACACAACATCAGTATTGAACAGCTACTATACTGTAGATACGGGTCAAGAATATATCACACAACATCAGTATTGAACAGCTACTATACTGTAGATACGGGTCAAGAATATATCACACAACATCAGTATTGAACAGCTACTATACTGTAGATACGGGTCAAGAATATATCACACAACATCAGTATTGAACAGCTACTATACTGTAGATACGGGTCAAGAATATATCACACAACATCAGTATTGAACAGCTACTATACTGTAGATACGGGTCAAGAATATATCACACAACATCAGTATTGAACAGCTACTATACTGTAGATACGGGTCAAGAATATATCACACAACATCAGTATTGAACAGCTACTATACTGTAGATACGGGTCAAGAATATATCACACAACATCAGTATTGAACAGCTACTATACTGTAGATACGGGTCAAGAATATATCACACAACATCAGTATTGAACAGCTACTATACTGTAGATACGGGTCAAGAATATATCACACAACATCAGTATTGAACAGCTACTATACTGTAGATACGGGTCAAGAATATATCACACAACATCAGTATTGAACAGCTACTATACTGTAGATACGGGTCAAGAATATATCACACAACATCAGTATTGAACAGCTACTATACTGTAGATACGGGTCAAGAATATATCACACAACATCAGTATTGAACAGCTACTATACTGTAGATACGGGTCAAGAATATATCACACAACATCAGTATTGAACAGCTACTATACTGTAGATACGGGTCAAGAATATATCACACAACATCAGTATTGAACAGCTACTATACTGTAGATACGGGTCAAGAATATATCACACAACATCAGTATTGAACAGCTACTATACTGTAGATACGGGTCAAGAATATATCACACAACATCAGTATTGAACAGCTACTATACTGTAGATACGGGTCAAGAATATATCACACAACATCAGTATTGAACAGCTACTATACTGTAGATACGGGTCAAGAATATATCACACAACATCAGTATTGAACAGCTACTATACTGTAGATACGGGTCAAGAATATATCACACAACATCAGTATTGAACAGCTACTATACTGTAGATACGGGTCAAGAATATATCACACAACATCAGTATTGAACAGCTACTATACTGTAGATACGGGTCAAGAATATATCACACAACATCAGTATTGAACAGCTACTATACTGTAGATACGGGTCAAGAATATATCACACAACATCAGTATTGAACAGCTACTATACTGTAGATACGGGTCAAGAATATATATCACACAACATCAGTATTGAACATCTACTATACTGTAGATACGGGTCAAGATTATATATCACACAACATCAGTATTGAACATCTACTATACTGTAGATACGGGTCAAGAATATATATCACACAACATCGGTATTTATAAATATACTTTAAACTGCTAAATTTTTGCAGTCATGCTTTAAATAAAAAAATTGTAAGTATTCAAATTACAAGACGAACATAAACAGATGCATTGTGCATACAGTGTATAACATAAGTGATTGTCTGAAGGAAAGTCTACGAGATACCAGAATTCAATATCATCTCTGCTTACCAATAAGAGAAACAGCAAATACCACCAGAATTGTTATTCACAGTAAATAAAGCTGTCGTCATTGAAAAAAAAATCATAAATAATCATAAATTTATTGCAGAAACAGTATGTCCTGGGATTGATTTTCTGTGTTAGTACTAAGACTTTGCTTTGAGTGCTGGTGGAGAAATGCTTTAAAAAGGTAGCTGGAGAGCTTAGTCATTAGGTACACAGTAGCTGAGTGCTTTGAAATGGAGGAGGTAGAATGTAGAGTTTGGTGACGTGGAGTAGTACTGCCAATTAGACTTGGTCAGGACGTGTTACCTGCATTGTTTGAATACATACAATGTACTGTAGACTAAGAGAGTATGGTAGATAACTATAATGGTATATTAAGTTCTGCTTTGAAGAAAAGCCTTACATTTTTTTTCTAATTGATTACAGGGTATTCTCTTTTTCAAAAGAAAAAAAAATATGATAACTTGTTTTCAACAATTTACATTATAAATATTTTTGCAGCTTTAAGTTTTTACTAAAACCAAAAAATAGGAAATATATGTACAAGAAAGTGAAAATATAACCATGAAGCGGAAATTATAAAGAGAATGTGTATGAAGTTAGAATATTTTTTAACAGGAGCAGAGGAGAATATTCTTTATTTGATCATAATAAAATATGCTTTGATATTTTCTGGGCCTAGTACGTTTGTACTATTCCCTTACCAGAACACAATGTTGAATCATGTTTTGTACATGTGTGTTTATATCTGTGACAATGTATTATTGTGTTTATATCTGTGACAATGTATTATACATGTGTGTTTATATCTGTGACAATGTATTATTGTATTTATATCCGTGACAGTGTGACTGACCAGATAACTACCCGCCTCCTGGCTAAGTGTAGGCCATATCTCATTCACCTCAACCTTCGAGGATGTGTCAAAATCACTGAGCCCACCTTTGTCAGTATTAGTGAGTGTCGTAACCTTCAGGACCTCAACCTCTCGGAGTGTAAGGGTCTTAATGTGAGTATAAATTTATATTTTTTATTTTCACTAAGTTTTTTTAAAAAGAATCTATCATCCCTCTGAGTATTATAGAGTTTAGATAGTAAATAATAATGATAATAATAATAATTTGAGGTTCTTATATACCGCTTTATCACAACCTAGTTCGTAGGTCGTCTCAAAGCGGTTCACAAATTATTATCGGTGATTATAGGGCCTTTGCAACTAGCCAGTACATTTCTCAACTCCCTTGGGAGCATACAGCCGGAGCTGCCATTTCGGCGCAAACAGCTAGCATTCAACAATTCTAGCACTGCCCAACCACGTACTCATTTACAGCTGAGTAGACTGGAATAAGCTGAGTAAAGTATCTTGCTTAAGGATACAACACATTGCCGTGCCGTGGCGCGAATCCGCAACCCTTCGGTCACGAGCCCGGCGTCCTACCACTGGACTATACCGTGCCTCCTAAATATGTAACATGATAGATTTTCAGCCTATATTTATGTAAACACCTTGTTAAATTTGAGCCTTGTTTACTAGTGTAATAATTGCCCCTCTCAATGAAGTTCAGCCTCTGTCACTTATTATGGACTTAAACAAACAGGAAAATTAAGTAAACTTGATCTTCCGTAAATGTTTATGTAAACCAATGTTTCAGCGAAGAGTATCTAACCTGGATTTTTTGTTGACAGGATGAACACATGAAAGTGGTTGCCAAAGGATGTAAAATTCTGTTGTACCTAAATATTTCTCATACTGGTGTCACAGACGCAAGTCTTCGAACCATTTCAAAGTGAGTATACCATATGTACTTACATTATATATCTGTAGGAGCATATACTTGTGCTGGCATGTCAGGTAGTATCCGTATCATTTCAGTGGGACTGTATACACTGATGTATATCTTTGGTATTACTCTGTCCCTGGTCATTAAAAGGTTATTGTCATTGTCTGTACATCCTTACTCCCCTAATAGGTACTGCGCCAACCTCCAGTTCCTCAGTATGGCCTCATGCTGCAAGTACACAGACAAGGGTCTCCAGTATCTGGCATCAGGAAAAAGTAATAAGAAGCTGGAATACCTGGATCTCTCTGGCTGTCTGCAGGTAGGTCTGTCTCCACGTCAACATATATCATCTTCAGTACTTCTATAAATACCTGGATATCTCTTGCTGTCTACAGGTAAGTCTGTCTCCACGTCAACATATATCATCTTCAGTACTTCTATAAATACCTGGATATCTCTGGCTGTCTGCAGGTAAGTCTGTCTCCTTGTCAACATATATCATCTTCAGTACTTCTATAAATACCTGGATATCTCTCGCCGTCTACAGGTGAGTCTGTCTCCTTGTTAACATATATCATCTTCATTACTTATATAAATACCTGGATATCTCTGGCTGTCTACAGGTAAGTCTGTCTCCTCATTAACATATATCATCTTCAGTACTTCTGTTAATACCTGGATCTCTCTGGCTGTCTACAGGTAAGCCTATCTCCTCGTCAACATATATCATCTTCAGATCTGTAGTAGTAAATGTATGTTACTTTGCTGTTAGTAACTGCTTGTTACATTGTACCTAGGATATTACCTGGTAACTGTTTTATACTTTTTCTACATCCCATTGTTTGATGTTTGTTCCAGGTGACTCCGGAGGGCTTCCAGAACCTGGCCTCTGGTTGTTCAAACATACATACCCTCATCCTCAATGACTTTGCAACATTAAATGATGACTGTCTTAAAGTAAGTATTTTTATATATGGCTGTCCATAAAGTTTTTTAATGTTTATAAGTGAAAGACATCCTTTAAAAGTGAATGATCATTCAGTAAGTTTTGTTATAATAGATGTACACAAGTGTAAGGTTCAAGATCTATTCATCACAGAACATATTGCCATTAGATTTACAAGAATGTAGATATAAGGTTTGGTTGATAAACTAGCTGACTTCAGATGTACAGCTTGGCAACATTTTGTTCATCATATATGTCACTGACACGTATGAACCAAAAGGTATTCATTGGTATAATTTGTGAGTGTCATTCTTAAACATACAGATCAGTCATACAGTGTTTCTTTCAATGTACCCTGATTGACATTTCTTTCAATGTACCCTGATTGACATTTCTTTCAATGTACCCTGATTGACATTTCTTTCAATGTACCCTGATTGACATTTCTTTCAATGTACCCTGATTGACATTTCTTTCAATGTACCCTGATTGACATTTCTTTCAATGTACCCTGATTGACATTTCTTTCAATGTACCCTGATTGACATTTCTTTCAATGTACCCTGATTGACATTTCTTTCAATGTACCCTGATTGACATTTCTTTCAATGTACCCTGATTGACATTTCTTTCAATGTACCCTGATTGACATTTCTTTCAATGTACCCTGATTGACATTTCTTTCAATGTACCCTGATTGACATTTCTTTCAATGTACCCTGATTGACATTTCTTTCAATGTACCCTGATTGACATTTCTTTCAATGTACCCTGATTGACATTTCTTTCAATGTACCCTGATTGACATTTCTTTCAATGTACCCTGATTGACATTTCTTTCAATGTACCCTGATTGACATTTCTTTCAATGTACCCTGATTGACATTTCTTTCAATGTACCCTGATTGACATTTCTTTCAATGTACCCTGATTGACATTTCTTTCAATGTACCCTGATTGACATTTCTTTCAATGTACCCTGATTGACATTTCTTTCAATGTACCCTGATTGACATTTCTTTCAATGTACCCTGATTGACATTTCTTTCAATGTACCCTGATTGACATTTCTTTCAATGTACCCTGATTGACATTTCTTTCAATGTACCCTGATTGACATTTCTTTCAATGTACCCTGATTGACATTTCTTTCAATGTACCCTGATTGACATTTCTTTCAATGTACCCTGATTGACATTTCTTTCAATGTACCCTGATTGACATTTCTTTCAATGTACCCTGATTGACATTTCTTTCAATGTACCCTGATTGACATTTCTTTCAATGTACCCTGATTGACATTTCTTTCAATGTACCCTGATTGACATTTCTTTCAATGTACCCTGATTGACATTTCTTTCAATGTACCCTGATTGACATTTCTTTCAATGTACCCTGATTGACATTTCTTTCAATGTACCCTGATTGACATTTCTTTCAATGTACCCTGATTGACATTTCTTTCAATGTACCCTGATTGACATTTCTTTCAATGTACCCTGATTGACATTTCTTTCAATGTACCCTGATTGACATTTCTTTCAATGTACCCTGATTGACATTTCTTTCAATGTACCCTGATTGACATTTCTTTCAATGTACCCTGATTGACATTTCTTTCAATGTACCCTGATTGACATTTCTTTCAATGTACCCTGATTGACATTTCTTTCAATGTACCCTGATTGACATTTCTTTCAATGTACCCTGATTGACATTTCTTTCATTTTACCCTGATTGACATTTCTTTCCAGCCCATCACTGCCAAGTGCTTTAAGTTACAAAATATTTCCATACTGGGCTCTCCGCTGCTTACTGATGAATCCTTCAGACGTTTAGCCCAACGTGGAAAACTAAAGAAACTCCGAATAGAGGGTTAGTATAATGTTTCTTTTGACACTGACTTTTGTAACAGAGTCGCAACAGGTTTGTTTTGAGTTGCAGTAAGTTTCCTGCATTCTTACGTGTGTTTGAATCAGGTATATTTGTGGCAAACCGGTGATAAAACTGCCAGTTAAAAACAACTGCATAGAAGAAAAAAATGTTAAGCAGAATTTTGCCAGAGAGTGCTTGGTGGCACATTTCTGGCTACAGTTTCTGGCAAATATTGTGTATGCTATAGCACTGCTTGCTGTAAACTTGCCACAACCTTCTGATTTCTATCGAGGATAGAAACAGACATGTTTAAATTTCTTGTAATACCATTCCATTTGTGTACCCAATTTTGCTTGATAACAATGTTAAAGTTATCATAGAAAAACACTGATCAGCTTTAATACTTGTATATTAATTTATTGTCCCTGACAGGTAACCATAGAATATCTGACCAGAGTCTGAAGGTGATTGGGAAGAACTGTACCCAGCTGGAGCACATCTATGTGGCGGACTGTCAGAAACTCACTGACCTGTCCTTGAAGGCCCTTAGTAACTGTAAAAACTTGGTCGTGTGTAACGTGGCAGACGTAGTCAGGTGAGACGTCGTCAGGATGTTATCACTTTCATTTTATGTTTAAATTTTGTCTAATATTTCCTGAAACTTTACAATAAAATGTAATCATACAACAGTCATTTATCACTGAAAAATTAGATATATTTGTACATTTTTTCCCTGCAATTTTTTTTACCAAGTTTGATTCAAGTTGATAGCTTTGCTCTTATGTAATTTCAATTGAGTATAAATCTAATTCTTGATGTTGCTTCAGAAATCTAATTTGTGTTGTTTTCCATTTTCAAGCTTCTCTATGACATCTCAGAGTCTAGCTTACTTATAAATGTTTTAAGAATTTACGTGTATTATAAGTAGCTTTTTCTTTAGTGAGTCTAATTTTGGGTGTTCTTTCAGGGTGACAGACAGTGGAGTTAAAGGCCTGGTGGAGGGGCCAGCCACACAGAAGATCCGCGAGCTAAACCTCACCAACTGTATTCGTGTTGGGGATATGTCACTGATCGCCCTCAGGAAGTGGGTATTCTTGTCTTCTCTGTTACGTTACTATTGATATAGTCACAGTGTGTAAGGGAAATTGAAACCCAATTTTCTGCAATATAGCAAATGCGAATTTTTTTTAGTTTTAAGTTGCACGAGTCGTTTGCAACGCATGTTTTGATTGGATACAGACCATGTTCTAATTTGCGATAGAATCATGATCAATCCTGTTAATCTCCACCCATTGCACTTAAGCCACCCCCCATTTCTAACTAAAACAATATGGCATCAAGCTCATCTCTTAGCGACATTCCGCTGATAAGGCTAGCAGGCAACAAAAAAGAAATGACTGATGAAATGTATTTGTTGAATAAATCAAAAAGTAAAAAAGTAAACAGTCCTTGTTCTTACCTCCATATATTACTGAAACGTTTGTTCCATTCGTGTGTAGGCATCTAGCTAGTTAGATCCAAAATCAAATGAAACATTTCACATGAATTTTGCACAAAACTATTCACAGATCTAAACAAATAATCACCGATTTTGTCGATACGCACAGATTAGCATGCATACTGACATAGAAATGTAAGAATTTGGTCAATAATAATCCAAATAAATGCTTGGATGTTTCTGTAGGGTGATAAACATGAGTTACTGAAAAAGTTACTATCTGAAGATGAAGACTGTCTTTTTAAGTTGATCAAGCTATATTGAATTAAAAAAAAAAAGTTCTTGGATATCTAAACTGCTCTGAACTAGATTCTTTTGAAAATTGAATCCTTATTTTTGCAATCTTTTGGTACATATGCTCATACATTAATATCAGGAGCTTCTTTTGCATATGTACATGTAATCGTAGGTTAATAATTATATATGAACCACCAGGTGTCCTGAGATTGGTAGAAGTCATGAAGATAATTTAGTGTTGGTTTTTTTAGGCCTGTTTGACAAGTGATAGAAGTCATGAGGGTGATGAAGAGTTTGTGTTTGGTGCTTAGGTGCCACAGAAGATTTAAGAATATTCTTGTGTTTGTCGTTTAGGTGCCACAGAAGATTTAAGAATGTGCTTGTGTTTGGTACTTAGGTGCCACAGAAGGTTTAAGAATGTGCTTGTGTTTGGTGCTTAGCTAGGTGCCACAGAAGATTTAAGAATGTGCTTGTGTTTGGTTCTTAGGTGCCACAGAAGGTTTAAGAATGTGCTTGTGTTTGGTGTTTAGGTGCCACAGAAGAATTAAGAATGTGCTTGTGTTTGGTGTTTAGGTGTCACAGAAGAATTAAAAATGTGCTTGTGTTTGGTGTTTAGGTGCCATTCGCTGACACACCTGAGTGTGTGTTACTGTGAACACATAGCAGAGGCGGGAGTGGAACTGCTTGGTCAGATACACAGTCTTACCTCCATAGACCTGACCGGCTGTAACTGTGGCGATAATGTAAGGGCAAATCATACCATTTAAAGCAAGAATTATACATATAAAGGCAGTCAAAGAGTTCCTATTTATATCATAATGTGTTCTGTCATCAATGTATAAGATATAAGAATGTTTATTTCAAACTGGATGTCAAAACAGCATTACATAAGTTCTGAATACAGAATTATTTCAATAATAAAGAGATATGCAAAAACAACATTATAATTTAATAAAACTTGTAATTAATACAGCTAAATGTCACAAGTTTGTAAAGGTAGTACATGTATTGACAAGATCAAATAGCAAAGAAAGTAAACACAAAACAATTACGTGCATAATAACAGGAATGTGTTAGTTTTGTTTTTTAGTCTTTTAAGCATTTGAAAGGTACGTTCCAAGATCTATATAAAATGTTCAACAATTTTTTCATCTGTTTTATGATAATGAAAATATAGGCGATTGTTCATTTTTATTTGTGCAGGGGTTATCTGCCCTTGGCAATAACTCTCGCCTGAAGGATGTGACCCTGTCGGAGTGTACTTCGATTACAGACCTGGGTCTACAGAAGTTCACCCAGCAGTGTAAGGATATTGAACGCCTCGACCTGTCACACTGTGTGGTATGTCTGTCCTCTCATATTCTGTACACTATGGTTATCCTTCATTACATCTACTTACCTTGTACATGTATAAAGCATCCTTGCAGTGCTCATATTAACTTATTATTCTGTAATTGATTTCAATTTCAGTTTTTTCATTATATTAATATACTCCTTTCATCTATAAATCTTCTGATATTCATAATTAAGATTCAAACTTATTTCGGTTTATATATAGTACATGTTTGATTTGTGTGCATGGTACGTTTGAATAGGCATATTTATGTAAGATGTAAGATGTATGATGATGTAGTGATTCATTGAAACAGAAATAGATATATATATGTATATATGTATATACTTGATTATATTTGTAGGGAATTACTGATGGTGCAATCAAGAACCTGGCGTTTTGCTGTAGAATGTTGAATGTGCTGAATGTGGCTGGATGTAAGCTGGTGAGTTGTAACCTAATAGTGTTATATTGATGGGTGATAAATACTGATAATGTTAAGTGTATTTACTCGGTTGAAGTGACTAGCCTGAGTGTATAGTACATGTACCTGTATAAAGTGTAATGTTGCATTTACTTGTTACAGGTGACTAACCTAAGTATCCAGTACCTGTCCGGAGTTTGTCACTATCTCTACAGTCTTGACATCAGTGGCTGTCTCCTCGTCACGTATGTATAGAATGAGTTAATAGATAAAGATACTATATACTTTCCCCCCAATTTCAGGGCATTACATTTCAATACTATTTTTTTCCAAAATGTCAGCAGACAGTGTCACATTCTTTGAGAAAATGTATCATTATACCTTGGGGCGCAATGAAGTTACAAGGGTATACAGGAATCAGTAAAAATGTTTTGTCCGGACAACTCCTTCTAAAGTAATGGACCGATTTCAATGACAGTTTCCCGATATGATAACTATTATCTAAAGTTGTGCATCATGATCCATTTTTTTTTTTTTTTTATTCTGACCCTTTTTATGAAGTTATGGACCTTTGTTAAAAAAATCCTGAAAATGTTTGTGCGGACAATTCCTTTATCAAGTAATGGACAATTTCCAGATAGGATAACTACTATTTTAAGTCGGCATCAGTATTATTTTTTCATTTCGACTAATTTTTACGAAGTAATGGCCGTTTCTTGAAAAATCGTCGACAACTCCAAAACTAATGGTCCAAATTTCAATGAAAGTTTTCATATATGATATCTACCCCCCTGATATTGTGCATTCAAGAAGTATTTGTTATTCATTCCGACCCTTTTAAAAGGAGTTGTGGCCTCTTATTGAGAAAAAAAAATGTCCGCCACCTAAATTATGGGCCGATTTCATTTAAAGTTTACGGATATGGTAATATCCTAGACGTCATGCATCTAGGTGGGTTTTTTTTTTATTCCAACCCTTTTTACAGAGTTATGGCCCTTTGTTGAAAAATGCTTGTCCGGACAATTTTAGAACATTAAATGAAGTGTGCATTGCTTGGGATGTGATTTGTTAAATTAAGTTACAATTTTTATGTATAAGAAAAACTATGACCGTATCTAATACAGGTTTGTGGAAAGTGAATAATGTTAAAGGTATGGAAGTATCTTACACGGTTGTAAAAATGATTAATGTTATGAGTCAATCTGTTAATTTACAGGGAGAAAGCATTGAAGTATCTGAGGAAGGGTTGTAAAAAGCTGCACAATCTCACCATTCTGTACTGTAAAGGGATACCCAAGTAAGGATGAACATTACTTAATACATACCACCAGGTGTCAGATACTGGATCTGTCATGTCTGATAAAAGATTGGGAGGATTCATCTTATAACTGATCATGATCTTTAGAACATCAAATATTTCTAAATTTTATGTCATATATGTCATATTTAGATTTTTAAATATATGTTATCATAAGTTTGTTATCAATTCTCATTTGGAAAGTGTTTTCATTTTCTTTAAGATGCGTTTATTTCCTTGTTTGTCTTTTTGCATTGCCGATTTGATTTGTTTGTCTTTTTGCATTGCTGATTTGATTTGTTGCAGATCATCAGCACAGAAGATGATGAGAAGTGTGGAGGTTGTCAGGTACAGTAATGAGGACATTCCCCCGTACTACGGTTATGTGGGATGAACAGACAAAGTGAATCGGGGGAAACACCAGGTTAGACCTATAGCTAATCGGGGACAGACAACGGAGACAGATACTCAAGCTAATGTAAGCAATATTGTGCTGAGATGTAGCTGTAATCCCAGTGGACAGCATTGTGTTATCACCGGACTGATCCCAGCGACAGACCCTTAGCACGTCAGTGTCTGTATAATTTAGTCTGTGATAGTCATCTTTGTATTTCACTTCAGATAGCAAATATCTCCACCTGCAACTATGGCCCTCTGCACCCATTTATATATATTCTTCATCAAAGATAGCATAGACTGATCTGTGTATGGGATAATAGTAGGCTCGTTTACCACAACATGTCACCGCTGAGTACTTGTCGGTATAGGTGGTCTGTGCATTCATGTTAATATTCTTCTTTCATTCCAGGTTAGAGTCTTTTGTTCTGTTTTTCCTGTATTCTTTTAATACATCAAAGTGCAAAGCATTTATAATGGTTTTTTAATATTGAACCAAAGACTACTGGTTTTCATCCAAAAGATACATTAATTGAGCCAAATAGCAATGTTGTTTTTCAGTATAAGTTAAATAAATATACAGCACTAGTACTGCCAGCTGAAAGAACAGTGACTTTGATGTAACACACATACTAGTGATGTAACACACATACTAGTGATGTAACACACATACTAGTGATGCAAGTACCCTGTGATATATAGACCTGTGCCTTTGTAACTTACAACTGCAGCGCTCTCCTGAGTATCATATTGAACCATCCATCACTACTTCCTGATATGACATCACCACATTCTCTTGAAGCAACTAGAGGACATGATGCTCTAATGACATGGTGCAGGTCATGTAAAAGACGTTTCCTCATCCGAGAGACATGTACAATAAACTTATGCAAGACATGTTATGGTCTTCATTGTTCTTATTGTAAACTGACTGTATGATTCGCTGGATCCATTCATTGCTATGTCCAGTTACCCAGAAATACATTCCGTGTATGAATTACTATTTATGAAAAATGATCATGTTGTATTGTCGTATGATTTGCTTTGATATTACACAAACCGTTTCTCACGTGAAATGGAAGACCTTTCTTCGAAATGTCTCAATATTTGGACCATCTCCTTTTCTATGGTGTAGTTAAAATGTACATTAATCATGTAGCCAAGGACAACGGGCTTCATGCCATAATAAATGCTGAAATATCGCATCTGCAGTAATCAAATTAAACGTGAAGTCAACACTGGTATTGTTAAGAAATATGAAAGTAACATTTTTAGAAAATGATAAATAATGATATAAGACAATAGACTATTTCTGTACAGAGATGTCAAGATAAAGACACCTCAAAAGTTATTGTTGTCATGTTCCGTTACTAACTACATGTATTAATAACTAAACTAAATTAATGTCACGTGCATGCGACCATAGCCTTTAATTAGCAACGGAAAATAGCTAAAACTTCTAGAAAACAGTGACTTTATAAACGGTGTCTTGCTACAGAACCTGGAAATTCCATTTCAATGTCAGGTGTAGTTGTAATGTAAAACCGTTAAATCGATTCTCAACTCAAAGATGAATTCACAACTAAGAAATCAACACACCACTGAGAAATCGCCACCAAACTAAGAAAGCAGTGGGCAGTTGAGAAATCTATTTACACATGAGAAATGTATACCTTGCTATATGGCGAACGATACTACAACAACATGTACTAGAAAATATGTAGTTTGTAGATGTGAAGCAATTTAATGCTGGTTCGCAGGGGCGGGTCCAGGTGGGGGCGTAATGGGCGTACGCCCCCCCCCCTTTTNTAGCAAATAAAAGGTCCAAAAGATTTTTCGCCTCGCTCCGCTCGGCAAAAGATTTTATTCTACGCACCCTCTTTCAAATATCCTAGAAACGCCCCTGGTTCGTGTCTGTTAAACAATCGTTAGTACTAGGCTACACACGGGCATCTATTTCATTGCGTATATATCGTTCCAAGTGTAAACTTATCGTTTCGATGTATGTTGCATGCATTGCGATTTACTCGTGTTACCATGCTGTTATAAGAGATATTATATCGACGATGATGTTCAGTTCACCAAGTCCCCTTAAGGTGGTATGGTCTTCGTAAATTACAACTCCATTTTCAGTCATATCTTAGCATGTGGCTAGATATGAAGATTGAGAACATTCGACGACTTTAATTTAGTTAGTAAAATTATACATCGTGTTTTTAGTGTAATCTGAAATAAGGCTACTTCATCGACATTATGATCATGTACATGGGGTATGCGGAGCCTAATATCTCTTTTACTAGCTCATGAGAGGCGTACTGGCCTCAAATCAAAATGGTTGTGTCCAGTCGAACCCTTAAAATTAGTTAAAAAGTATTAAGCCTCGGTAGTGTATTTGGGAAGTATATGAATGAAATCTGAGAGTCATAAGACTTAGATTAATAAATGAACATCAGATAATGTGTCTTTCCATAACATCCACTATTGCAGTACTTGAGTTTGACATTTTGGAAATAATGTAGGACGTACCAACACTACTTGTTAGGCAAGGACATGTTACATAAAACTAGGTTACACGGCTCCCAGTTTCATATTTACATACTGTTAAAATAAAAGACGTTTATATAAAACTGACAAAGCAAAATTCGTTCTGTATCATTTTCATCACGGACTTCGATCTAATCTAATTCCGTGTTTTCATAAACAAAGTTCGAGTTAAGCTATCTGGAACATTATCTCCATAAATCTGTTTGATGTGAGTCTTTAAATATGACCTACCATTTGATTGGTATTTAATTACGATGACCAAAAGTTCAGGGTGCTTGTTGAAAATTAACATTGCCGGTAACACAGCAGGGAAAGGGTCAATAAATGATTTCTATAATTTGCAATAGTTCTAGGTATTCAACGCTATGCTACTGTCGAGGCAAAACGGCTGAAATATGCAGTGCGATTCTCTTTTGGCATAATATCTATTAAAAAGTTTCATATATTTGTCTTAGAGGGGTAAAAAAGTTATCTGTAGTGAATGTTACTTAAGTTTGAAGAAATGATCAAATAAGACCCAAATCAAACTCGCGACGAAAAAACTGTTGAATTAACTTTCTTTTAGCTGGACAAAATAACGTTCTCTTAATGAAACCATAACACCTCTTTATACAGATGTCATATTTAATTACAACTGTTTGTAAACGTATGATGAAATTGCATATCACAGTTATATGTTATACAAGGTATGAAATTCATGGACTGTCAGATTCTGGTTATGTTACATTCTGTGGCTCGGATGTGTACATCATCTAGTATCCTCTATTATTATTATTATTAGAGCCACTCCGTCTGGGACGCATACAGCGACTGGTTCCGACTCCATGACAACATATATCACTAAAGCGGCGGCAACCGTAATCGGTGTTACATTCTATCTGTGTACCTTGAATGAAATTTCGATGAGGACAGTCTCCTTGCTTCATAGATCCACCAGGAGCTGTAACCAAGCGACAAATTTAATATTATTCATATGCTATAATCGGGATTTTCAAGCAACATTCAGGAAGATAACAAATATTAACAATCCACAAAATTCTTGTATTTAATAATTTATCATTCCTTTGATCTACTGTTTCAGAATTTGAAAGGTTTCTTTTTTTTCCAATACGAATTGTTTTATATATTTTTGGCTCGAACAAGCAAATAAAGAGGGTCAGAATATGTCTATATGTTCGTGGCCGTACTTACTTTGCACACAGGTGTACAGCCTTGGTGAACCCTGGAATCTCGAACGTTCGCACACCTGCTCAAAACCGCATCTTGCTTCCTGTAATGACAATCATGTGTATGTTACTAATCCAAGTAAATTATTAATCAAATAAACTTATACAACATTATCGAAATAAATTGGGCATGCGACCCATACATTTCAGCGTACGATCGGGAAACTGAACCCCGGCTAACATGGAGAAAGGGGAATACCATATCAACAGCGTCAACCGCCTACCCTTTTAGTAAGTAAAACTTACTAAAATTGACCCATATTATAGGATGCTACACGTTTTCAACATCACTCTCGAATCGCACCAATATGCATACAGAATGGGCAACAGGTTTCGGGGAGGCTGGATTTATGTTGATCAGTTGTTCATCCAACTTCGAATATTGATGGATATATTTTAAAACAGTAAATTTGATAAAACCTTTCCTATATGAACATACGGTTTTTAAGACATTCAAGCTGAAATAATTGTAAATGAAGTGCATCCATATGCAGCGAGTATAATTATTTGAAGGCTTTACATTGTAATTTTGTTTTATGTTTCTATCATAATATTGTAATACAGAAATCTATATGGACTGTTTGTATAAGCATTATATATACTTTTAATTTACCTGACAAATCCGATGGAAGTATTTGAGGACGGTTGGGTCTCTATAGCGACCCGTTGGGGGAAATGGTTCATTTCCATATTGGCCAGCTATTTGGTGACATATAGACACCAACACCTAAATAAACAAAGAACAAAATTACAAATAACACAACTTTCATAAATTACAAAATTTATCTTTATAGAAAGAAAGATAAAAGACAAAAAGAAAATATGGTGTATGGTTTTCACGAGTACGAACTTTAAAACCACACTTTTATGCATCACACATCAATAGAAAATTCCTTTCTTCGTCAAAACATGAAATTAGTGTATTGTAATTAAAGACTGCACTTTAAAATGGTTTAAAATTTATGAAAATATCAGTTAGGAATAATCTTTAATCAGATGACAATATGTACATATGAATCGAAAAAGTTCTTAAAGTGAAACTCCCCTTGTTAATGCATAAAGATCATATTTAAAATCCACTTATAAACATATAAGGATAAAGTTTAACACCCCACCCAACCCTTCCTCTCCAACCATAAAGTAACAATAAACAACTCGTACTACCCCTGTTAATATATATTGAAACAACTTACGCTACCTCATACGCGATGGTAAGCAGTATTTAAACAAGTATTGTAATACACAGCAACATAGTTAAAGTATCTTTGTAACTAATTTTGAATCCGTATAAACTGCTTTTGTTTTAAATCTATGGTAGAATTTCAATCAAAAGTACTCAACTATCTGGCTCATTTAATTATGAAATAAAGAATAAACTTACCGTGATAAACAAAACAATGGTACTGGTTGCCATGTTGTCCTGCGTTGTAAGATATCAGACGGTTTCCCATGTAATTATACAATTAATTGGTCACGCTTGACTGACTCGTTAATTTCCCTGTCAACCACAACATAGTAATTATTCATTAAATCCCGGCTTTTCGGTTTTGATGACGTAAGTGAAATACCACAAGTTCGAATTTGTTTCCTGACACGTCAACAAATTACGTCTGGATGCTTGTGATGGATTTAATACGATCAGTATTATGACATCGTCATTTATAAAAGCTATTAAAGTTTTAAAATAAATTTAATAATATTATTAACACTGATTATTACACGTACACATAAGCCTTTTCTGGCTATGCTATGCATTTGGAATTAAGAAGATAGGATTTAAAACATAACATTTACGGAAACATCTTCAGTGGCATTTACATTATTATTTTATTTTTACATGTGAAATAAATTCTTAGTACGAAACAAATGTAGTTATTGTTGAAATCTCTTCACTAACTGTACATTATATTTATATTATTTTAGCATCCACTTGGTCAGAACCCTATCGAATATCATACATTTGAAGGTATGTTGCTTTTTGGAGGTAATTTTCACATATACCACAACAGAATGATAATAAAGACAAATAGAGACGTACATGATTGTGTAGGTATGGAAAAATACTCCAATGTATATTTCGCACAATTTCATGATAGTCTTGTATATCTTAAAAGGCATTAAATGAAAGACTGCAATACCAGGGAGACCATCCACAAATAATAATTTTCGTATGCTGACTGAAAATGTGAGCTGGCTCTTATTCAAGTACAGTTCACGAATCGATGAATATAATTGGTCACAAAGAGTGATATCACGTGTAAACATACATGTAGCTATAAAAGGGCATCTATACAGATCTCGACCGGCTATTAACACGTAAAGAATACGAAATCAGAACAACTAAACGAAGATATTAAATTATATGTTAGAACAAGCAGTATACGGCTCCACTTAGATAATAGTACGACTAGCTCTCTATTAGTCCATAAGTCACATACATTAAGCAGGAATCACATGCCACAAGACATACTCATACTTATTTCACCTACATAAAATCAACTGCTTGCATTTTATTTTATTTTATTTGCTTTTGTTTTCATATAAAGCTTGATGTATTGATGATTTTATCAGGACTGTTTAAATAACCTAACAAAGACCTTCAATTTCACATTCTGATATACATAATGTACCGACGATGTGCTGTCTTTGAATAACAAGAAAGTCGTTGACTTCATCGATCGTATATAACCTCCAGATCTCTTAATACAGCCTATTTTTTCGATCTTTACTAACAACATAACCAACAGGGACGGCTTATTACTAAGGTCTACGATAAACGTGACGATTTCGACTTTCCTATTGTGAAACTTCACTTTCTTGATAGCAACATGCCCTACATATGTTGGTAACATGTCTCAGTTGATTCGGTACTCAAAAATATCACGACTTTGGTGAAATATGTCGACTGCTGACTGGAAAACCTACAACACAAGGTTTCCAAAGATGCAAGTTGATGAAGACTTTGTACAATTTTTATGCCGTGGCGCAGCGTCCGTCGTCCGTCGACAATTTTTTTTTTAAAACCTATATCCTCCTAAACGCCAAAGAAGATTTCAATTCAATTTAGTCTGAAGCATCACTAGGGAAGGGCAATCATTTCCTAAATAAATGAGGTTGGTTCGACCTCTGAGGCAAGGGGGCGGGGCCCTGAATGGGAGGGAACTTAGCTTAATTTGCCTTAAAACGCATCTCCTTCTTAACGCCAGAGAGGATTTCAACCAAATTTAGTCTAAAGCATCACTAGGGAAGGGCAATCATTTCCTAAATAAATGAGGCTGGTTCGACCCCATGAGGCCATTGGCGTGGGGGCCTGCAGGAGAACTTAGCTAAACTTGCTTTAACATGCATCTCCTCCTAAACACCAGAACAGATTTCAACCAAATTTGCTGTGAAACTTCATTGGGGTAGGGCAATCATTTCCTAAATAAATGAGACTGGTTCGACACCTGGGGCTAGGAAGACCGGGCCACAAACAGGAAAATTATCTAATATTTTGCTTTTAAGACGTTAATATCTCCTAATTGCCTGAGTGGACTGTACAAAATTTGGTCAAAAACATTATTGAGGAAGAACAAACATTTCTTAATTGAATGAGGTTGATTTGACACCTGCGGTCCTAAGAAATGGTCAGCTAGATTATCATATTCTATGGTGTAGTTTTCATAAATTGTTAAAAATTGGTTTCTAGGTTTATAAAAGCTTATAGTTGAATGAAAATTAAAGTATTGTCTAATTACACCCTGAAAACATATTACTTATTTCAAAATCTGTCAACATGGTAACTCAATGGAGGCCCCTGATTAGTTGAAAGTCAGATATTGTGGTCCCAGTTGGGTTAGAACGTAGATCTTGTCTGGTTTTGAGGAAATTTCATATAAAGATGTAATAATGCATTCAGTTGTAATGACTTAAACATAAAACCAGGTGTGCGATACAGGTCCATTGGACCTCTTGTTATGATCGCCATTAAGATCTCGCAGGGAAATATGCTATTTCGTTGTGTGGTGTGAAGATAGATATTTTTATTATTCTCATTAGAATGCCTTGCGGTTTTGTTGCCACTACCCGAGATCGCGGTGTGAGGACGAGACATCACTTGGATTCGACTTAGATTTGCAACGCGGGTATCGTCGATGAAGCAGAGGATGCTTACTATTCCGAAGCACCTGGTCTTATTCTCCTTGTTTTGCAAGGGTCTCTATGTAAATCATTACTTTGTTAATATTACGCCCTAGTTTTATTGATTTTGAATTATGGTTTTGTTGTCATTTCGGCATTTCATGATCTCGCCGGGTAATTCACTGTTTCATGGTATGGAAGTTTTTATTTTGCTCATTATTGGTCTGTGTTGTGTCGTTGTCACTGCCCCGGTTTTAGTTATAAGGACGTTACGTTTGTTGGATTCGACAAGATACCAGATACAAGAAACTTTATTTAACGTCGCATACAGGTAAACAAGGAACATTAGCTCTTGAGAGCTATTATTGCGACAAACATATGTAAAAATAACAATAACATATTATATTACAAGTAAAGGGAGATAATCACATATATTAATAAAAAAAACCACCCAGGAATAATCATCACAGAAAAAGAAAGTATACATATCTCAGGTTTCTAGGTGATTGGGAGTCCCCTACCTACATTACAAAGGCCCCCGGGATATATATATATAAACAGTGTTAATATATGAAAAGCATTAAATGTGATCACAGATAAGTAGTATTCAGAATAGGTAAATAAATGACATAGTTAATAGTGAATGAATACTTGTTATATCACACAAGAATTACTTAGGACATAGGATTAAAACACTATGAAGTGGAATATACATGCAATGCTAATATAGCAAAGAATAAAAATTGACAGAATATACACTATTATAGTGTGAATTAAAAATGATACCGAAATCAATTAACAAAGTTATCAAGTTTTGAAAAAAATCATATTTTAGAATATATGGAATTAAAATACAAATAAGATGCAGCAAAAATATAGAATAGAATTAAAACATAAGAAATGAGATAAGACAATAAAACTATCACACAATCCAAAATGTCAGGTGGCAGAGGTAGCCAGGGCACAGTATGAAGTATCTCTCTTTGCAGATATTGCAAAGGCAGATGGGGCCATCTCAGGAATGGACCAGCCTCCTGAAATCTTTGAAGTTTTCAACTTTTCTGAAGTCATTTGGGAGACTGTTCCACACCCGGGCGGCCTCAAAAGCAAACGATTTATGTCCATACTTCACAGTGTTGACCCTTGGAACCTCTTCAGTCTTTTCTTTCCTGAAGTCACAATTAGACATCTTAATATTTACAAGATTATGAATATATTCAGGAGACATTTTGTTTATATATTAAAAAAAAACCATACCCATTTCCTTCAAACGCCTTACATGAAGCCTGTCGCTGTTGGTAATACTGAGTAAGTATCTGAAGGATGAGTTGTGATCCTTATGTATAAACCTTAAAGCTCTTTCTTGTATCTTTTCTAGCTTTCTGACACTCTTCACGGAACAAGAGTGCCAGACTAAAGGACAGTAGTTAAAATTTGAAACAATAATAGAATTATAAATTACAAGTCTACCTTGTTTGGTTAAAAAAACTCCCAATTCGCTTTAAAATGGACAATTGCCTTGAGGCTTTCCTACAAATTTCAGAGATATGAGCTCCAATAGCCGAGTCGTCGATGAAGTAGAAAACGCTTACCATTTCGGAACACCTGGTCTGATTCTCCTTGAGCGTATTTAATGGTCTCCACGGAAATCTTTCCTTTGTTCATATTTTGAATTTTATCAATTTTGAGTTCAACTTACGGTATTTTTTGCATCTCGGACTGAGTATTGCCCTTGCTTTTGCACATATTTAAAACTTGCTATCAAAATTAAAACGAAGACATTTTCAATCATATTAAAAAAATAAAAAATAAATAAATAAAACTTTCAATGAAAGAGGAGGCACGGTAGTGGTAGAACGCCGGGCCCGTGACCGAAGGGTTGCGGGTTCGAGTCACGTCACGGCACTGTGCTGTATCTTTGGGCAATATACTTTACTCCGCTTGTTTTAGTTTACTCAGATGTAAATGAGTACGTGGTTGGGCAGTGCTAGAATTGTTGAATGCTAACTGTGAGCGCCGAAATGGCAGCACCGGCTGTATGCTCCCCAGGGAGTTGAGAAAGATATTGGCTGGTTGCAAGGACCTTATAACCACGGATACGAATTTGTGAACCGCTTTGAGACGACCTACGAACTAGGTTGTGATAAAGCGGTATATAAGAACCTCGGATTATTATTATTATTATTATGTATTATAAATGTGTGTCACCAGCAGTCACCTCAGATTTACAGAACTTTGATATACGCATATTCTAATAAAATTTAATCAATTAGGCAATGACGGGCGCCTTTAACTGCTGTAGGCGACAGATGATTTGTGTGACGTCATAAAGAGACTTCTACATATATCATACTTAGCAAAGCTTTTTT